TAAGGCCTTGTGGTCTAGAAGGGTGTTTGCTGCTGGTTACTTGCTTATAATGAAGAAGGAAAAGAAAGAAAAAAAAAAAGGACATAAAGTAGGACTGCTGTCAAACAGCGTAGGAAAAAATCTCAATTTACATTCTGCCATTGCACTGGTAACTTATGTATGCCACTGTTTGCTCCCTTTAATTACCAGAGGGAAACATTGGATTATAGTATCAGCTTGTTCCATATACTGTTTGAAAATTTGCTTTATCAGAGTGAAATGGCATAGTGTGCCTCAGGGTCACTTTCTGTGTTTTTACAGAAGCTTCTTAATCACCAGTGTTTAAGTGATACTCATTTAAAGCTCTTATTCCCATTTATCTATACTCTGTTTACAAATGCTTTTCTAATTACACAACTCTAGATTTGATTTAAGAGTTATGCCATGATATGAGCTAGTGGAAGGGATGGCATAAATTCCCAGTAACAGTTTCAAATTTTACTACTCTGAATTGAATAGAGATCCTATCTAACAGAGGTCACTTGCTGTTAAACAGAGGTGCTGTTATTGGTAACTGTTATGAGAAGATGGAACTTTTGGATGTATATCTTGGTAGAAGTGATGGCAATAACATATGTGACACTTGCTTTAACCTCCTTCAATAGCTATAGGAAGAGAAAGAAAATTTAGATATTAGGTTATTAAGTGAAAATAGCAATGTATAGCAATGCTCAGACACTAGCCCAGGTGTCTAACCAGTAATTTATCATGTTACTTCATCCAAGTTCCAAGTCATACAAAAATCCGGGCTTATGTAAGCTTTTAAACTGGAGATTGCAGCCAAGCAAAACTAATAAAAATATTCTGTATTTGCCATACCACAAGAACATTTTTTTCTGCAATACAGCATCCCCTCATTTAAATAATAGGCTTAAATTGCTCTTAATCTTTATGTTGTAACGGCTTACCCCTTGACAGGATCAGTGTGATTCATTGTCTTTGAGGCTTGCAAATTGGGTTTTCTAGTGTCAGCTGTGTGTAAAGAGGCTGTTCAAATGGCTTCTAACCAGCGCTTCAGTTTCAAGGAAGGAGTTCTTCTCATGCCCTTAGCCAATTTATTCTTTTTCTCCTTCCAAAGCAGGTTTACCTGACTCTTAGAAGTCTGAATCAGCTCCTAAAATTCACCACGGAAAAATCTGTGAATACCTAGATATATTGCTGCTCAGGAGAGTTTTACTGGTAGTACAATTTAGGCTATTAGGAAGGAAGCTGAAGCAAGATTTTCTGTTGCTTTTTCTGAAGTGCTCATGGTATCTTGGGACCAGGAAGAGTTAGAATTGTAGTTCCTGGCTGAAATGATGCCAAAAGTTAATGTTCTAGAGCATAACTCCACCATATACAGAGGTAAGGCAACCTACCTGTCATGAGTGAGGGAAGGCCAATATGTGAAAGAGCATATGGTTCAGGATGAAGGCAGAGGCAATTCTGTGTTGTCAAATAGAAGAGAGACCAAATGATAAAAGTAGCAAAAGAGGAAATACAGGAGTGTGGTCTAAGTAGGGGAGCAACTAGAGACCTTCAGCTGTGATGCCGCTGATTTTCAGGATTGGTAAAAATCTGAGAAATAGGGAGGGAAGACTTAAGAATTTCGAACCGACAAAGTGGTTGGTGGACAGTTCGTTCAATCTTGTGCTTGAAAAACTACTCTGTAACCATAACTGTAACTTAAAAAACTGTTCATTAAGGAGCAACAAGAGCTAAAAAATCTCGCTCCGTGTGTGTGCTTAAGTACTTAAAATGAAGAAGGTTGTTGAAAAGAATTTAGAAGTAGCTAAGAGAAGCTTTTAGGTAGTGAGGAGTTTGCTAAAGGGGCAGCTTGGATTCAGCATTTACCACACATGCAGAAGGTCTAAAGAAAAGGTAAAAGGAAGCTGGATAGAGCTGAACAGAAGAGTAAGGAAAGATGTTAGAAATGATAAGACATCCTTTGAAATGATGAGATTGTGTGTCGGTGAAGACTATAAAAAAAGAAAAATAAAACAAAGTCACAGACTTTAGCAGATTACTGATTATGATGATGTGTATCAACTCATCTCAAACTGCTTTTGTACTTGAGGACCCAAAGGGTGCCTAAAATGATGCAGGTTTTAATAACACATTCCAAGGAAGTATGTAAACTATTGAGACATATGTTTGTGTTAGGAAATTAGTAAAAACCTCAGTAAAGACTAGTATGAGGGTATACCAGATTACCTGTAAACTTTCTGGAAATGGTCAATATAGTTCCTTTTTAAAGGAAGACCCTATGTTGCAAGCATATCAGAGGTCTTTGCAGGGGTCAACAGCATGTGGATATGGGTGTCCTGATTGACAATTTGGCATTTCCTTTTTTTTTTTTTTTTTTTCTTTCCCCAAAAGTCTCATGGCAGGTTTGTTTAAGAAAAATTGCTCCAGAGGTAAGAGCGTGCAGATGGGGAAACATCAGCTCTTGCAAAAGGGATAATCTGCAAGAATCTGTGGTGAGACCTGTGCTGTTCAACACATTCATAAGTAATCTGCATAGGCACTTAAATGAGCACGTTTGCTGATGACCTGAAGTCCTCCTAGGTAGCGAGGACAAAAAAAGACCGAAAAATTGCAAATAACCTTAAGGGAGCCCAAGAGGCTGAACAATAAATGACAGCTGACATTCCATCTAGATAATTTTAAAGTGATGCACGTAGAAGGAAAAACTCATAGTAATTTCACATGTCCAAAGATGAGCTGTGAGTGGCTGTTAACACTTCAGAGTAAGGTCCAGAGGTTATGGTAGGTGATTTAGTGAAAACATCAGCTCAGAGTTTGATACGTGAATACGGTGCTTGATTCCTACCCATCTCTTCAAAATATTTAAATGAATTGTTAAAATGTGGTCTAATGAGAAGGAATTTGCATTTGCAGTAGCTGTTCAACTTATTTTATAGAACAGATTTTTAAAAACTGGTATTTGCTGGGTGGGGAAAGGACCCTGCAAAGTCATTTCCAAATATGCACCTCAACCAACTGCTCTTCCCTCTTTCCTATTCCCTTCCTCCCTGTAATGAAGAGGATAATTTTATGTAGTTACCTGAGATCAGGTTACCCCGCAGCATTAATCTCCTAGCAGAGAGATACTATTTTACTTTTCCAGCATACTGTAATCGACCCGAGTTTCTGATATATTTAAAGCCTATTAATAGTTAATGCAGCACTTCTTGGGTTCTTACCGCGAGCAGCCGGCGACCGGGGCCCGGCTCCGGCAAGGATCGGTCTCCGCTCCCCTGCGGATGCTGTGGTGCTCGGGGAGGCAGCCGGGACTCGCTCATCCTGCGAGTTTGTCCTCGTGCTGCTGCTCTCTCTGGAATGGGGATTTCTTTGCACCCTACGCGCTGAACCTACCGCGGTAGGGCCCGAATCTTGGTGCTGTGGACGGCTACCAGCAGTCCCCAGGAGAGGCACTCATCCCTTCTCCCTTTTGTGAGTGGGACTGCTGACGCTCCTGGGTATTTTGGCTGTTTCTCTTCACTGCTCACACACTTCGATTGGTTGAGGTACTTTTTAGCATTACTCTTTGGTCTAGATTAGCGTAATAATTTATAGTTAAGCTGAAAGGCAAAGCATATCTTCTGTTCACAAAAAGAAAAATAAAAAATGCATGCTATTAGGTAGTAGATTATCTGAAATCCTGTTGTTACACAGGTATGACTCCAAACATGTTTTAATTTATGTGTTTGTGCATGTGCATATATGCAGGAAAAATCTTCATAATCACATGTTTAGCCTTCCAGAGAAATGAAAATTGCACTAAGGGAAAATCACAGTATTTGTCCTTTGGGTTTAGAAATTCTGAAAGCACCCGGTTTACTATTATAATTCTTTAACTAATGAATCATTAACTTCAACTTTTCTGCCTTCCCTTTATAATTGATCTTAATATGAAACGCAATATGCACCATATGAGGCTGTTAGGTCCAAGCTCATGTGCAAAGCAGGGTCAGCTCTGGTATCAGCCTGAGTATGCTATTTTATGTGAGTTGTGAAGATGCTTCTGAATTCTTTTGAGTCAGGAAATTTATTTTAGTCCATGTTACATCACGAATGACGCTACGCTTAAACGAGGCTGCCTCTGAGCAGCAGTCGCAGTTAAAACTCCTTTTCCTGAGCAGCCAGAGCAGTTCTCCAATTCCAGCAGAGCTAACAGAGCTTCTCAAGTCTTGAGCTGAATTGGTGACCTGCAGGAGTCCTGATGTTTAGAAAAGATGTAAGCACTTTTCTGTTTCTGAATATCTCCAGTCAAATTTAGGATTGCTTTATTCAGCAATTTACTCATCTCAAAATTTTTGAGAGTCAAAGAATTTTCTGGAGCATGGTAACTTCTGTAACCTTTTGTCATACAAATGATCCCTGTGTCCTCTGCTAACCTGGATACTCTCCCTGATGCCATCCCTTGTCAGTGCTGCTTTGGAAATGCTTGGGATTGCGTCAAGTTTTCCCAGCAAGTGATAGTTCTGGTGAAGCCTGCACAGAACCTCCTCTTGTGAAGAGGTCTTCATGGAAGGCTATTTTCCAACCAGTGCTGATGTTTATCAGCAAATAGAAATAATTCTACTTTGTTAAGGACTAAAAGCATTTTTAATAATGAGTCTCTGGAGCTAGCAAACCATGCAGGAGAGCTTTCAGTGGGCTCCTTGCATGCTGGATGTGACACTGAGACCCTGAGAGCACAGAGAATGCACAGGGTTGGAAGAGGGACCATGTAGTAGCCTAGGGGTGGCAGCAGCAAGGGAGCTGCCTTGTTTTCCGTAGTCTCTGGCATGTTACCAATTTCCTAACCTGAGCTAAATCTAATTATTTGAAGGCTGAAATTATTTTCTCTTGTTTAATTAAAAAAAAAAAAGAAAGAATAGAGAAATCTTATAGCAGCAGAAAGCATTTTTTTTCAAGCTTTTTCTGTAAGGTATATTGCCCTGAGAACCTGTAATTGGTTATTGTTTGTTTTCCAGATGGATCCTGTGCAAAAAGCAGTTATAAATCATACATTTGGAGTGTCCATTCCCCCAAAGAAGAAACAAGTCATTTCTTGTAATGTCTGCCAGCTTCGTTTTAACTCTGATGTGAGTATTGACAATTTCTCTCTCTTTCTCCTTTTTCTGTTTTCTGTTTTTGTTGTTGTTGTTGTGCTGATATTTTGTACACTTGGACATAGAAGTCTGTAGTGATATCCAGCTCTTTGATTTTTCTTGCAGGTTCCTGGCAACTAGAGGTTTTTCATGTGAACTTAGTTGATCAGTAGAGACAGGCACCACTAAGGTCAAATGACCGGCTGAGCACCAGAGCTGACTTAACACACATCTTCCTCCCTGGGTTTGAGCACTAGGCAGTGTAGCTTTTCTCATGTTCATAGATGTGAAAGACTTGCAAAATCCAATGTCATGTCCATTGATGGCAGCCCATTTGATAGGCTGTTAATCCTGGAGAGGTACTGCATAAAGAAATTCCTAAAAAATAAATAAATAAATAAAATGAGGACTTTTCCAATGTCTTCTTTTGGTTTCATACTACTTCTAGAAGAAAATTGGGTATCTGCCTTTTTCACATGTTATTCCTACATGCCTTCTGAGAATGTAAGTGTCCATAAAAAGAGTTTCTTCTGAAAAAAGGTCACCTGTTCTGTAAGTTTTAGGGGTAATGTATATGAACCTTTACTTCTAACTGTCTCTTAAGAGTGATCAAATACAAGGAAGTTGAGGTGTAATTCAGAAGAGTATATTCCAAAATGAGTGAGGATGAGTGATCCTGCCCCTGGAGGAGCAGCTTGCTCTGTCTGCATTGACTTTCAGAGGGACAAGTAGCACTTCAAGGCTGTCATATTAGTTTATGGCTTAAAAGTCAGAAAGAAAAAGAGCTGAAATATTATATTGTTTTGTACGTCCGCCAACCAGTTTTTCCTATTTAGACTTGCTCAGAATGTAGAACAAATATCACTTGCACCAGTGGCATCACGGAGCATGGGAGATTACACCCTTGTTTTTTCTTTTGGGAGGGTTATATTCATCCTGTGCCATCTTTTCATTTTTTCTAAATGTTCTAAAAATGCTCAGTTCTGGTACTAGAAAACATATAAACGTGCTTTTCTAATGGAGAGTAATGGTGAGAGCAGATGAAGCATCATGGACATAGTTAGCATTAGTTTGCTTTATCCCAGGACCTTCTTAAACATCCTGCAAATTTTATTTTAGAAGATTCTGAGATTCTAGTGAAAGTTTTTTTATTTAAATGAAAAAATGAAATAACCAGAGTATACAGAGTTATTTGTAGAAGAATTTTCTTAGCATTTTTATTTAAAAAGTTGTCTAGTCTCTTATTAGGTTATTCAGTTTCTTCCAGCTTCTTCTACCTCCAGGTTCAGGCTTCTGACCTTAAGAGTTGAATATCTAAGTGCTTATTTCCTTTTCTTTGACAGAGATTAAGCTTATTTTATCTGCATTGTCGTATTTTCACCGAAATACTGCTAATGTCCTATCAACTAAGCTCTTCAGTCTCTTATGTAGGTAGAATCTTTTTATATGTGTACACACATATACACGCACATGCAAGCACTCATATACGTTTTTCATTACGTATAATTACACACGTGCACACGTGTTTTCTTGTGGCAGTTATTCCTGGAAAGGGTGATACGTAGTTCTCTCAATTTGTTATAATCTTCGTAAGAATTTGTTGAGAATTTTTCTGGTGACATCAAAATTGTGATAGTTTTCATTAAAACTTCGGGGATGTCAGCACAGTATGCTGTAAAATGAGAACTGTAGTACAGCTGTCACACTTGCGATTTCTTCCCCTTGCTCTGCCAGGTTGATGTGGTCTGTGTTGCTGATGGCCATTTTGTTCCTTTGAACTTACTTTGACCTAAATTATGCAAGCAAATTAAATAAGAATGACAGAACTAAGCTATTAAGTGATTTTCTTACTTTTGTTCTCCTAAACAAATTTCAGCTATGTGGTCTTTGAAGCTTCTGGCCTGATTTTTGCAGCACTTTTTTATATTGTATGAATAATATCTAGACTAGTGCATATTCATCTGTGAGAAGAAGAAGAAAATTGCATTCTTTGCCTGGAAGCTTCTCATATTGCGTACACCCACTGGTCTTGATCAGTAGACCAAAACATTTCTGACTACTCAATTTATAGATTTGAAAACTCCTATTAAATGAATAAATTGCAACGGTTTCAGATTTCTTCTCTAAGCCTCTGTAGGTTTATCTTTGGCTGCACTGTTCTGGAGATGGAGATGGGTCTACAGCGGTCAGGAAGAGAAAGTCTGATTTCAGGGATGGACCCTTTTAGATAAGCTGTCCCCACTGTGGGAGTAAAAGCATCTGATGTTTAAGTGATGTCTCTTATTTTGAAAAACAAAAACTGCTAAATTAATGTTATTTTTCTTCTACCATATTGTAATTTAAGAGGAGTTTTCTAACTGAATTCAGGATCTCCCAGTCTTCTGTTGTTTTAAAAGGATTTTTAAAAGGTACAAGAGTAAAAGATCTGTATACAAACCCTAAGCTCAGACTCATTTTAGACTGATCTCTAGTATGTGCTTCAAAAAAGATGGATTTTGTCTAATACACTCTATGCATTGGAGGTTAATCTCTGAATATCTGAGTAAAATAAATATATCGCCTCAAGAGAGACTGCTTCTCAACCTGGCTCTCTTCCATAAGTCTCAAAAGAGTGTTTAAGGAACAACCATATGGAGTTTGGGGAGAGGTGAAAGGTTTGGGGATTTTTTTTTTTCCCTCCCCCTAGTTCTTAAGCAGAAAATGCTACAAGAGGAAAGTTGTTAGTAAAGAAAATAAGCCAGTGCAGTAAAAAAATTGTTTGGCTTGGAATCGGTAGCTTTTAGTGTCCAAAAATGACTCCTGTCAGTAGTAGTTGTGTCTTCCAATTTCTTCTTCACACAAAGATTTCCAGAATTGTTTGAATTACTTTTTGTCTTTGATTGTGCATCGTTTATATTTGTGTTTCAAAAATAGGAAGTCTAAATTGCAAAAATAGGTCCTGGCAAACTTAGAGTCAGTAGTTGCTGGAAGATTAAATTTGGTTATGAAATCCCTTTATATAAAGGGTCCCTAATTATAAAAATTATATTAAGAGCCTCACTGCACTGTCTAGTACTCATACCCCCATCATAAATTATGAATCTTTATGCAGGAACAATCCTGTAAGTGCCAAGTAGGGATGGCTAAAACCAAATAAATGGTGAGTTTTCAAAAGGTGCTTGAAAGTTTTTTATTTTATTATTTTAACAGTTTCCCCTTCTCTAAGTAAACCAAAGATCCCTATTATCTACGAATAGAAAAACTTATAGCTTTTAGACTTGTAGGAGAGTCAAAACTTACACTTTAAGGTTGATTTACTGAAACTGGAACAAGAAGCACAAGCTATTTCATCACTAAATGCATGTCAAAGCCATTTGCTGAATTTTAGCTTTCAGTGTATTAATTTTATGCAGAATTACATATTTAATAAATCATAAATTTTAATAAATTATCAATATTAGTAATTTTCAAATTGTGAATACTGAGAAGGGCAAATGTGTGCCCGAGACAGAAATTTAAAAAAAGCTAAGCCTGACATGGTACAGAAAGAAAGCTTCCTGATTAACAGAATTTAGACTCTTGGAAAACTTTTTAAATCACTAAAAGTCTACAGTAGCAGTAGTCTGTTATTCAATATATATGCATGCTATGTAAGTGAAAACTTTATATAATTTTGCATTTGGTGTTCCTTGTTTGCTTGTTTACATGTATACTATTTTTTGTGTATATACACAGAAAATCTAAGTGCACATTTCTAATGCTGTGAAGAGTCTAAGATGACATAGATTGTGAAGACAGTTTAAAAACTAGAGTGAAAATATGATAGATCCTTTTCTGGAATACTACAGTTTTATGTATGCAAGTAATTTAAGGGAGATTCTATACATTACCTTGTAATGCTAGTGTGGCCTTTGGTTGTTGTTCCCTTTGCCATTTTCCTATCCTCTCTACAATGAGCTACTGTCAGAAGGCAAAGACTACACATTTTATTTATAGAACTTCTATGCAAATGTACAAGTGTTCATCATGAATGAACATTTCCCAAATTAATCTTTAGATATTAATGCTATTAACTTTGACAGTGGGCAGCCAATTCAGTTAAGGAACATCATGTCTTCCTCATTTGAAGAGGACCAAATTTACATATATGTGTTTGTGTTTGCATACATTCAGGCACTCAGGCCACTCAAGACTTTTAATCATCTAGTACTTACTCCTGAAGTTTTCTCTGAAATTTCTGGAGTTTACTCTGTATTTAAGAGAATTTGGAAGGGTTGTTCAAACTGCTTATGGCAGTTCTGTGTCCTTAGATGTCCCAGCTGACCTCCAGCTGCATGTCCTCTGTCAGACCTATCAGCCTGGTACCACAGATGCTCAAATGACTGGAGACAGTTTTTCACCCTAAGTATCAGCCAGAACATCTTCATTAGTTATGTGATAAATATTGCTTAAACAACCTCAGTTATCCCTGATATTACATCAATATTAATACTAGAGATAAGTAGTTATAAGTCAAGGGTGTTAAGGTTCAGATTATTACAACTTTAATTTGATGTTAATCATAGGGATGGCATTTCATCCTTATGTTCAAGGAAAGTAAATGAAGAAAAAGTTAAAAGGGAATAGAGAGAACATAGTTTCTTCCTAAGCTGATTTCTCATGGCAGTAGCTACCAGAAGTCAACTGGTGATGAGTTAAGTTTGAAAAACAGTTGGAAAAGGTGTCTTTTTATGAGGAATAGCAGCTGATGAGATTTATTAGAATAGATACTCAACTGGCATACTGATTTCATTCTGTGCAGACAGACATGCTTTGAAAAAGTTAGTTAAAACAAAAACCCTCCTATCGGCTGATAGCTGCATTTGGATTTCCTCCAGTATATAAACAAACCTATTTTTTTTTTTGGCCACAAAATTTATGTTAACACTTTAATTTTTTTAAAAAAAAATTCTATGTGGTGGTGAAACAGTAAGTGTTTCAATGCAATAATGTCTAGTGTGTCAGTAAAATTTAAG